GAGTCATATCTTTGTTCAAACAATCGACGTTTAAAATTGAGCAGTTCAAAAAATGCAAACATGAAAGATACACTACACGTGAATTTAGAATGTATACCTTAACTTATTTGCAATCAAAATCCACAAACTGTTTTTGGGCAATATTTGTCGCGCTAATGATGTTTGCAGTTTAACGAGTGGATTTTGATGCGCTGATTAAAAGTACGCCGATGTCGCGCGTGAAACACGAAAATGTGTGCTAAACATGAAAAGTTGCCACTAAAGGAGTAATTAATGCTTTCAAGAAAAAGTTTAGCGGCAGTATGCCCGGAATAATGTAGGTAAGTTTGGAAAATTAATTACGGATGTTGCCGGGAAATTAAGATAAGGCGTTATCTGGAAGGAAAAAAAATGCTCGTGTAAAATAAAGGAAAGATAATAATTTTTCACTAAAAAAAACTATGTACTTTTAATAAATAATATTTTTAAAGCATATATCTTAACGCCTTTTTTCACCGTGCATTCGTTTATAATTATTTTCTACCAAACTCTCGTTCGCGAATATATTTAATTTGCGTTAATTGTGATATTTTGATGGCACGATGACGCACGGTTGTGCTCAAAACCGGAACTACGGTGAGAAAAAAATATCGTCGTTTCGAGAAAGCTTCTCTACGCAGAACGTATACCATTTCCTGCGGGCTGCGGACTGCGCAAGCTGCGCTCGGGCGAATTTAACTGCACCGGAGAGAGATTCCAAGAAAATCTATTTAATCTCCCGTCCGTCGATGGAGCGCGAACGATGGGAGCACGCCGTGGCGCGCGTAGACTAATGAGAAGTGGGGTCGGTTTTTGACGTGGGGTATTTATTATTGAGACGAGAGCGCGCTAGAGAGCCGGTGGCAGGAATTGGATGGTGTGTTTTCTCTTTCTTGGCGAATGAGCGCGCGCGGGCGCGAACGAGGGTGAAAGACGGAGAGAAAGTGCGAGAGAAAGGTCGCGCCTCAAGCTTTAATTACCTCTGGCGGCCTTTTGAAGCTGGAGTGCCTCCGTCTTTCGTCCCCCTTCGCGTGACAATTATTATTAGCATTACGTGGTACTATTCACGTCATTTTACGCTAGCGCGGGCGCGTATACACGTGTGCGCGTGTGTACGCGTTATGCGACGGCGCGGCGTATGCACTTTGCATCCCACACGCACAAGTGCACACGTCAGAATACGTTAGCGCTCCTCTCTTGTCCCCGAAACTGTTAAAGACCTCGTGGTTTCTTATCGTCTCGGCGCAGCGCGCGAGTCTTTGTAGAACGTTTTTTCTCTCCTTCGTCTCTCCTCGTCCGGATATCTCCGCAAAACCCTGGAAAAACTTCCCGCGGCGCGTGACGCGGGAAAGGGAATATTTGCTGTCTCGGGTATATTTGCTGCGGAAGCAAAAATTTCGCTTCCTTCTACGAGCGTCTGCCTAGTTAATCTCATTTCCTCCGTACAATAATTAATCGGATTTCTCTCACAACTACTTCATGTCTACCCTTGGAGAAAAGACATTCCCTTGATTCTCGTAGGGAAAATTGCAATATCCGTCCTTTGCTTTGTTATTTGCAACACTTTGAACAAATAGCAGTGGAGAATGTTTCCGCGTCAAAGTCGCGTCGATGTGTAATATTAACATAATATTGTAATGACAAATAATTTCCAGGAGAATTTTCAGGTATATAAAAATATTTAGTAGCAAATCTGTTTAGCAATTTTAACGGCAATTCAATTTTTCTGACTTTTTTTCCAGACGCAGCAAAAAGTAAATTAATTCCAAATTAATTCTTAATCGTTAATGGACCTTTTCCATAACGAGGAAAAATGAATCAAGGTTAGTAATCGGATCGTGTTTGGCGGTAAAGCGGTGAATAATCATGGGATCGAAGAGGCTACGCAGCGTTTGCATGAAATTACGCGGTCGAGCGCCGATGACGGGTAGACAGCGTCTTCGGCAGCGTGCGACGAAGACGCGCAATCCTCTGGCGCATTAGCGCCGGTGCAAGCTGGCTATCAATATTAACAAGATAGTAATCGGATGCCAGATGTAGAGACACGTCCGATCGATAACGGATAACTGCTCTCCGGGGAGACAAATCGATAAGATACCGAAATAATCGCGTCATTGTCATTTTTTTTTTCCTTTCCGCCGATTGGTAATTTGCGTAATTTTCCGCGCGAGCAACTCCTCGCATTTGTTGCAAAAGGGCTAAGTACGCCGAGTTGATAACAAGGCCGTGAATAGTGACGAGCCGGGATATGTCACATACTCGAGGAACTATGTTCGCGGAGCAGAATTTTAGATTCACGTCACGTTAGCGCCTGTCCAATTACATCGCCATTAATCACGCTTTTGAGTTAATAATGTTCTCGATCGTTTTTCTCCCCCTGACATATTTTCGAAGTAATCGAATTAAGATGGAGGAGCGTATTAAATTGTTTAGCAGAAAGATTATTGAAAGGTATATCAAAAGCACTTTTGTTAATTGAAGTAAACAAATGAAATGGGACGAAAATTTATTAATCTCTATCATTCAACACGTCTATTAGACTATATTTAGATTCATTTTGGAGCAGCGAATTAGAATTCGATAGCGGATTTAAATCCAAAATTCGAGCATATACATATATTATATAAATCTCATTGTCAGTCCGATCGCGATATTCTACGCGCTATGCAAATCGCTAAACCGCTATACATTTCAGATTGGCCAAATTTAATCGTGCCAAATTGAATAATCACAAAGTTTCGATTGCTGACCGTATTTTCAAGAGGGTCGCCTGTGAAGCAGAAAACCGAGCAGGCTAATCATTAAGTATTGAATAATCACGAAGTTAATCGTGCGACACACGCGAGGTGTCTTCCTCGCTGGCGAAGGGGAACGGCGAAGTCGCCGCGCGCGGTCCCTCGACGCATTAGCGCCGGCGCGAGTGGTCCATCAATATTAATAAGATCGTAACCGGACGAGAGGCGGCGCGGCGGGGACGTATAGGGTACGGGCTGATCGAATGGCCAATTTGCCTAGTGGTTAGGCGAGCTTTTTCGTCTCGCCTTTCAGGAACGTGTATCGCCGGTCTTCTTAGTGTCTCGTAAAGCGAGACGGGGATCGTCGCCGCATTAATGAACGGGATACGCGTCGCATCGCTACACGGAATCGTGCCCGAGGGGACGCGCCGGCGAACGAGGCTTAAAGTGTCGTAATAGCGACGGCGACGTGGTCCATAAACATTACCCCGACGACGGTAGACGACGTTGAGTTCACCGGGAACGTGTCCCGTCGCCGTCGGCGATACTCGTGTGTGCGGCTCCCTCAAAGGTAAACGGTATCGGGGCACATTTGATGTTTGCGGTCGCCATCATGTGGACAGAATCTACTCCGAGTGATCTTGCCTGATCGTTTGCGGACGGATGTGTGCGGGGTAGCCTTCGTTTAAAACACTACCCGTACCTTGAATCTCGGAGACGGTTACTTTCTCCGATAAGAGAGAATGGCTCAGAAGGGAAGAATTTCCATCGTAAAATTATTTCGACGAAACGAGTCGTTTATCAAATTGTCGTATAAAAATGATTGTCAGGTCGCTGTATTGTAGTGAGATTTTGAAAGTCCTTAACATTTGTGAGAAGTCCAATCTGGAAAATGCCCTATAAACGTAGTAATGGCGCATCGATCGCGGCTCGTCGCTATGGATATGAACGGAATATACTGCCGCTAATGCATAGTACACGGTAATGCCGGTATCCTAACTTTACGGCGTCCATCACGAACTCGTTCCGCTCACCGCAGCTGCTCCCGCTAATACTTCAACGTGGGCTTCGCCCGTTAGTCGAGAGACTCCGACTCGGCAGCAGATTCGCTCGCGAGCAGACGAGCGGAAGGCTCAGAGGCATGCTGGTAGAACGGCGGCGGCCCGACAAAGTGGCGCACACCGACGGTACGAAATTAGCTTACGGATTCGCGATAAGCGGCTTACGTTTCGAGCAAGGATAATCCCGCGCCCCGTAATCGATTCTTGATCGCCGAACACTTTGAACTCGCGCGCTCGTCCCGCGCGCGGGCATATATACGCGCTGCTTTAACCGCTCTCAAATAGAACGGGCTGCATCCTATTTCATCTCCGGAATAACGATCTCAATAGCTTAGTCAGAAGAACGATGGCACGATTATTTTGGGTCAATGAAATCGCGGGTCTATTTCGATCGTTTCGTTGCAATCGCGGCAGCTGCGGCCTCAACTGGCGCGGGCGCCGGTAAATGCGCGAATCGGCGGCGTCGGCATCACGTCATACCTAAATCACGATAGCGGCGAATGTTTTTGCCCAAGTGGTGTGCCTTGCGTGCATCGATCCGATGCGTGGTCTGTCAGTTCTAAAGAACCATCCGTGGTTTTTCGTACCGCGTTATGTTGTCTTGATGTTCGATATAAAAATACGAGAAGTTGGAAAAAAAGTGATCTAGTTGAATGAAGTTTCTATTTTTTCCGTAATTATCACACCTCTATATCGCAAAGTGGTTATGAATTACGAAATATATGCAGAAGATATATGTATACATAATTAAGTAGCTTAATTAGAAGTAAAGACTTTAATCGACCCTTATTGCCAGTAGGGTCGATACTTTACTTCTTAGGTTAATTATTGACTGGCAAAGTAAATGCTACTTATTCGGTTATAATTAACTAGTTATTTTATTTTTACTCGTTATTTAAAAAAATGAAATTGAAAAATAAAACATACATCATATAGTAAAAAAATTGTTAGTACAATTTTTCCATTTCTCCTTTTTCTTACACAGTTTACGATTTAAATTTCCAATAATTTACGATACAAATTGTACCATTAGGGTTAATAGGTGGGTAATGGAGAATCCAATCAGTCCGATTTAGGAACTTGGTCGGAAAACGTCGAACAACTTCGCGGCAATAGTACTCTATACCGGTCTAGTCCGTAATCTAGCGCCGCGATAGAGAATCTTTAATTAAGTTAAGGCGCTCACCTCCTCTCCTTTGATGTCTCTATACCGAACCCATTTGCCCAGTCGCGGCCTCCAGTATTCCAGCAGATAGTACTCCGCGAATTCAACACCCACGCCGTTTCCGAAACGGCCCTGGGTAGCGGTGGCCGTGATCAAGTGGATAGTGTGAAGGTCGATCTCCAGCCACTCCCGAGCTTCCTTGGTGATTTGGTTTTTAGGACACCAGGCGCCACCGAGATTCTCCGATTTCAATCTATAATCATCAACAATCGAGTATCGCGTCAACTTTTGCTTTGGTTACATTGTACCCTTAAAAGAAACATTAATATATTTAAACATGTATAAATTTTTATTTATACACAAATTTCACACGAAAATATTTTCTGCTATTTTATATCAATGTATTTTCAAGAAAAATTCGAAAGTAAAAGAACGCGAAGAATTTGATAATTTACTATTAAATAACCGAGATTGAAAAACACACAAACTACCAAGAAATTCTGAAAAATCGAATTTCAAGCAGTCGGCACCTTCAGCTCGGCCCCGTCCGCTCATAAAAGTAACAATCTAATTAGACGTGAAAGTATCGAGTTAGTTCCTCGCCAGCGCCGTTCATCTCGCGCTATCGGAAGATCAACCGACGCGCGGTCGACCATCGAAGTCCTCACACCGAATTCCGATATTATCGCGTTTATGTGTGCGAGAAATCGGAGATTTTGTGCTCTCTCTCTCTCTCTCTCTCTCCCCCTCTCCCTCAAATGTTATTTCATTGACGTCATATGGGTTATAGGCAATGTAAATCCGAACTGCATCTTAATGATGAAGCTTAAAAGATCTACACTGAAAGCCGAAAAACAGTAATAGTCTCTGAATTTTCGTTCATTCTCAACTTTTAATCTCAATACACAGATGCTTATGTAAAAAAAAGTAATATCTGCTGAAAAACACAGTAATATCTAAAGATTAAGATCGTAAGCGATATACTATCTGAAAGAAATAATAGAAAAGAAATAATTACTGAGAAGTTCCATTATTCAATCATGTGCGATTCTGTAACCATTACTGTTGGCTCTCCATATTCGTTCTATCGCACGAGTTCAGAGCAGTTCAGAGAGATATATGAGATTCATAATAGTTATTATAGAATAGATTGTTAGCTCAGCGTTAGCGAATATTAGGCTATCATTCCGGAATCTTAGGTTCGAATCCCGTCTCCCGTCAATGTTTTAAAAAATTGTAAAACAGTGCGTAATTTTAATTAATAAAATAGAATATATGCAGAACCACAAATATATACAAATTAAACCATAAAAATATTAGAAAAAAATAAGAACCACTTGAAAATAAAAAAGAATTTTCTTTTTGATTAAAATATTGCACCGGAATAATTATAGTCTTTATCGTAATGGTTACTGTAAAATCCGTACTGGTTACTGGGAGAATGTTTACTGTAGTAGTGCGTAATGGTCACTGTAAGAAAGATTAAAAGTTGAGAGTGAGCAAAAATACAGGAATTATTACTGTGTTTTTCGGCTCTCAGTGCAGAATTGGTATATAAAAAAGTACCTTAAATTTCTTGGTTTAAAAAAAAAAGGAATTCGAGGTACATATGCTGGTATAACAAAAGGTGTCACTACAGTATATCGTCGTTATTATGTATAGCATAAATTAAAATAGATGTTATTTGCCGGTGGAGTAAGAAAACGCGAGGGAAATGATGAATAATCGCGGATATAAACGTATAGGAATGGGCTTTCCGACTCGCGCCATTCGCCGAGATCATCGAAAATCCGGAAGCTTATCGAGATTTCCAAAGGTCCGGCTCGATAACCGAACGGATTTACATAGGCGGGAAATCGTGAGAGGTATTCGGAGTTGACCACGTATCATCCTCGCGCAGGTGATACGGGTCGGACGGGTAGTATATACGCGCGGCCATTTATACGTTCAAGCTGTGCCCGCCTCGTGCTTCGGTTTTAATCTTCGAGGGGTCGAAAGCAAGGCAAGGAGAGAGAGAGTTCTGCGCCGGGGCCGGCATGAATAAAACATGAAGCGCGAAGCGCCTTCCCTAATTGCGTGGACCGTTTAAATGCTCGACTAAGAGTGGTGCTCCTTTTCGGCGTTACGCCGAGGATAGGTAGGTATAGTTATATACGGCCGGGGTGTGTATTCTTCTTAAATTGCAGATTAGGAACCGCCGCGTGAAACGTTCTCGCAGACTTAGTGCGAGTTACGCTCTTGGCATACCAATATTCTCAGCGTGAGAAAAAGGAGGATCGGAGGAAGACAATAAGTTCGCGACAATTGCGCCGACGATGGGATGGCGGTCGGTTATGCGAGACGCATTTATTGCGACGAAATGAGATATCGCTTGTAACGAAATGGCACAATAAACCTGCATTATTACGACGCGGGGATGATTATAATAATCTTCCTCGATAATGAGGAACATAATAACGGCAGAGCTATTTACGATGAGTACGCGTAATCGAGGAATTGCGTCGCGACTGATCCACGAGGTGCTAATAATCATACCTCACGTTCGTCATTAACCGAGCACGATAACATGGCTGCGTTCTCCACGGCAGTGCGGCTGATCGCGCGGTTATAATGGCTGCTTTCGCGAGATTTACAACCTGCGTGGCGGAGGCGCCTCTTTATCGTTAACAACCGGCTCGTTCGGCATGGCATGATTAGCCGAAGGTGGAGTAGCAATGACAAGACGCAGATTTCACGAGCGTATAACGCACTTTTCTATCGTTACGAGAAAATGAGATCAGATCGGATGTCAATGTATCTCAATCTATAAACATTATTAAAAGAATTCATATTAAATAAATGTTAAGAGAATTCTTTACAGTTATTTAGATGCTTATAGCATCTAAGTTAAATCGATATCGATTTAATTAGGGGAAGAAAATTTTAATGTGTTAACAATAATTGTGTTTTAAGCCCGACCAAGAATCGGCGCGCAATTAAGTTGGCAAATGTGAATAATATACACACATAGAAATAATATTAGGCTACTAACAATTAACAATAAGATCTAAGTTCAGACCATAAATGGCAATGTATTCTAATTTCAATCTATACATTTTTTTCATTGTGACTAACAATAATAATTCCTTGTTTGCGAGCAAATTACGAAATTTTATAAAATTTTTTGAAAAGAATCGACTCTGAGTGAGTCAACATATGATCGTGATCATAAAAGATATATTATTTCGAGAGAAGTTATGTGTTGTGAGATGTTTGTAGTAGATATTCGAATAAATACATTTTTTTTTATTACAGGACATTTTTTTGCAAATTTGTAACATATGTCGATCGATGGTATTTATTTAAAATGTTGCTGCAGGGTTTTAATTTCCGCACAATATTGGAGTATCGATGATAAGGATCCGAAGTGAAATCGAACAACGTGATTTCAATAGAAATAAGTAATGAATTAAAACAAACATGTGTTCGATCATGTTAAATGTAATATAGTTTCTCTTGCTCGATAAAGATACGTATTATGAGAGAAAATAGGCAATAGAGTCTATTTAAATTGCAAACAATTACAAACCGTTATTTTATATATTTAAAGAACCAAAAGTAATTTCCTCGCAAGATCTCGCGGGATACATCAAATAAATATAAATTATGAAAAAAATATATTTCAAGAATTTAGTTCGAAATAAATACTTTAACCTTTCGGAATATTATTTTTTAATAGAAATCCCATCTAAATAACAAAATTCCGCTAAATTAAATGCAAATGCATGCAAACGTGGAGTTATTTCTGCGAAGACAATATCCCGCTCCGTCCTTCGCGCGTTGTCTCTTTTATATCGTCAAAAAATTCGCGACGGTGCCCAAAACCGGCTCGCGGGTTCTATTTATAATGACTTTCCGTGAGTGTGTCGCAGGGCGAGGAAGGATCGAAGTGTGTGGTCCCCCGCGCGCGCGCGTACCCCAAAAAGACGATCCGGTATAATCGTTTTCTCGGGCGGTGGAACACGACTCTGACCCACCGAAAACTCCATGTCGTCCGCTCCACACGGCTGACACGGACGGGTGGCATTAAATCGAGCGAGGCGAGAGGAGAGGATGGCGTGGCGAACTTAAATTTTCCATCGCGTCAACCGCCCCGCCGATTCTGCATTCGCCGGTATTAACGGGCGTGTGACAGCGGGACTGCTCGCTATCTGCGCGCGTTAACGCGCTCGCATTATGCAAACCATCGATCGGGAAGATTGACGGACATCTCAACGCCACGCCGCACCGCCACGCCGCACCGCCACGCCGCCGCGCCGGCGAGTGGCGGAGCATTGGCGAGTGGCAGAGCATTGGCGATTGGCGATCGATGGAAAAAGATTCGCGCGCGATTTCGTACGACAAAAGCACCGTCCCGTCAGCCGCGGTCAGAATTTAATTTCGCAGTGAGGAAAAAAAAAGTCGTCGTTATTACCGTTTCGACGATGACGTTGTCGGTCACGGGAAAATTGAATCTGTCACGCGGCGGAATTTTTATCGTGCGTTATCGTTACGAATTGAATGATCGTCGCGGAGAAGAGAAGTTATTTTTCAATCTAATTCAACGATCTCGGATTTACGGTACTAGCATAAAAGAATCTCTCGTGTTATGCACTAGTTAATTAGATTAAAATAGTTTTAATTAAGATAAATCGGAAGAAGATGCCAGTAGGTCGAAGATGCCACTTTGTTAATATTTCGTTCATTTATCCGATAGATGATAATGTTTTCTAGACGTTAACGTGAGATTCATACAACGAGTGACACATGCAAGCTTCTCCAATTTTATTGTGTTAAATCCAAAGAATTTGGGAAGATCTGTTCAATCCAAGTAGTGAGCAGGCTTTTTATAGTATTGTATTACAATATACTCTTCTTTGTTAAGATCTTTTATAATCTCTTTTCATTGAAGTGGATTTATTTAATTTATTTAAATATATCATTTAATATCCTGGCTGAGGTAATATTTTTCGCAATAATTTCTTTACAGTTTTTTAAATTCCGGGGAGGGAAGGGTATTAATGTTCCAACGATAGCTGTGTTTCAAGTCCGACAAATAATCGGCGCGCAGTTTATTAAGTTGGAATATATGTATATACGTATATACATTGTAATTCGTTACTTCTGTAACTATTAATTCTCTATTTGCGCACCACGTACCGCGCTTGACTCGTATCGCCGTCTTTTAATTAATTTACTAATTTATTTAGTTTGAAACCATGTGAAATGGCTGTC